CGCACGCACGCACGCACGCACGCACGCACGCACACACACACACAAAGGAAAAAAAACTTGAGTAAGATACGACAAATACCACGCCCACAATAACGTGGCTAAAGTGAGGTACATCCCCGTAAAGGTGCAACATCAGGCCCAAGTCTATCTATCTATCTATCTATCTATCTATCTATCTATCTATCTATCTATCTATCTATCTATCTATCTATAATCTGTGCAACAAATACCAAGAGTTGAAAGCGAAAGAGATAGATAGATGGCAGGGGCGAAGGCTGACTTGTTTGACAGGGTAATCAAAGTGAAATGGGACCAGATCTGGCCTGTAGATATCACACAAGAATCTTACTCGAGGCGGCGACTCTGAGTTGTGAATGAAAACAAATCCGGAATTCGTATTGGATGTTCAACCGCCAAAATAATCGGGAAAGTATCTTATTAAATATCAGTTCCCACTAAAATTAAACTTAACTTTAGATGTGAATACATAAACACAAAGCAAAGAAGCAGAGATGTCAGTACTAGATCTATATGTTATAGATCTACCAGTGAGTCTAACTCTTTGGTAGAACATGACAATTATTATTTTTTAAATTTCACATTTGGCTGTTTTTGTTAGCCTTTCGCGGCCAGGAGCTGGTGTCATAATCGAGGTCACGATCTGATTATAGGACGGTAAAAAGTCGAGGAAAAAAAACAAGCACAAGCAGCAGTCAAGAGATTATTAAGAGTTAGTTCCCCTCACATTTGTGAGGTAGACTCGACCAGTGTTAGTTAGCTTACTTAATCAGGGCTTGTGTTTGATTTTAACTGTGGCCCCAAAGGGGTGAACAGGGTATATGTGGCAATGAAACAGCTTCGACTGCCATGCACATGTTCCCTTCAACTCTATTCCAGCCTCACTTTAAGCTTATTTAATCAAAGCTTGCGATTGCTTATGGAGTGGGCCGAGAGGGGTTAGGAGGCTATTTCTGTGGGCATGAAACCGTTTTGAATGTTAGGCATACTGTTCGTCGTTGGTTTTGAACGTCTTTTTACATTTAATTTATGAGGTTTACGTTTAAGGATGAATTTGACAGCGACAATGTTTCAAAATTAGAAAGGGGAGCAGTGATTATTTGATTATATAGACGCTTCGCCCCTGATAGATGGTAAAGCTACCGGACTCGTAATCGTGAGGTTGCGGGGTCGGGGGTTCGAGACGCGGGCCCAACGTTGTGTCCTTGGGAAAGACACTTTACTCGAATTTTCCTCACTTCACCCAGGTGAAAATGGGTACCCGACCATAGACAGCGAAAGATCTTGTCAGTATGTTAGTGTTTTAGCGCCTATAAAAGGCCGCTTGCACTGTATGCTTCCCAGGAAGTTGAGGTTGTTTCAAAATGCTCTCAGGTCTGCTGGGGTAATAGTATAGATTGTGAAGCGCATAGAGCCTGCTGCGCTGTTGAGCGGGGATTTGCGCTATACAAAGGCTATCTAATATTAAGTTTTGACAAGGTTTTCTTTTTAAAAAAGCAAACACACACACACACACACACACACACACACACACACACACACACACACACACACACACACGCACACAAACACACACACACAAACACAAACAAACATTCATCCAGACATACTCATATATACATTCACAAACAGACACGCACACAAAAAGATACACGAACATACATCAATAGAATTCTCAATTTTATAAAGGCTATCGGCCTTTTCACTAAATATTAAGTTGTAAATACGATTGATTATTCTAATATTATGTAAATTGTCATTTTTAGATTGAGTTTATTCCTTGAATGTTCAACATTTTAACCTGATAATTAACAACAACCAAGCCGTGCTGTGGACTGTTGTGAATGCAACCAACTTGTGTTTCGCGCGCTCATATGACCTTATGCAGCTGCGAGCGCCGTAAAACTCTAACTTTAAAAATTGCAAACATACAAATACAAATACACACATACATATACACACACGCACAAACACAAACAAAAAACATACGTGTACTCGTGTAAAACAACAACAACAACAACAACAATAAATAACACACCTGCAATAAAGAACGAAAAAAATAAAACTATGAATAGAATTTTGGGGGGCATATCAACAAGAAATAAACGACAACAAAAACAAAACAAAAAATTAGCAGAGCGTGGTTTCGATCCACGGACCTCTGGGTTATGGGCCCAGCACGCTTCCACTGCGCCACTCTGCTCTGTAGCTCCACCAACAAAAATATACTAATAATAGTGAGTCGAATGACCGGTCTGGCGATATATCGCATATCCTCGCTCAACAGAAATCACACATTTCACAGTCTATTGCCCAATTCTCACAGGGGGAAAGTGAGATACATTTCTCTAAAGGCACAAAATTGGGCCCAAGACGGGATTTAAACTCACCTACTTTGTGTGGCAAGCCCAACAGCCTAGGCACTAGACAACCGGAATAGTATTTTGACAATCAAAACATGCATACATACATACATACATACACACAATACGCACTCACTTGCCTACCCATCTCCCACACCCACCCACCCACCCACCCACCCACTAATGCAAAAACACTGAGACACTGTGAAGAGTTAGACGCGAGTGGGAGCGCCACAAACCTGTACGCAACCTAAAAGTACCGTTATTTATATTAC